ATGCCTGTGAATGCCACAGGTATGCCATGAAGATCTGCATCACATGGCTGGGGTGAGGCTCAGTTGGTGGAGTGCTGGCCTAGCATGCACAGGCCCTGTGGCCCTGAACTACATCCCCAACACCACAAAAACAAGGTGTAATGACACATACTAGCACTTGGGAGACAAAGGTGGGCGGTTCAGAAGTTCTAGCTCATCCTCCACTGCATAATGAGTTTGAGGCCAGCCTGGGCTATACGAGACCCTGTCTCAAAAACAAATCCACAGAATGGATTTTTTTTAATATTTTATTATTTTTATCTTATGTGTAGGAGTATATTGCCTGCATGTGTGTAAGTGCACCCATGTCATGTGATGCCCATGGAGGTCAGAGAAGCCATTGGATCCCCTGGAACTGGAGTTATGGTTGTTAGCTACCATGTGGGTGTTGAGAACCAAACCCAGGTCCTCGGTAAGAGCAGCCAGTGCTCTTAATGGCTGAACCATCTCTCCAGCCTCTAAATGGATTTTTCTAGTGAATATATATATATATATATATATATTGGTCTTTTTGAAACAGGCTCTCTCTGTAGCCCCAGCTGTCCTGAACTCACTTTGTAGACCAGGCTGGCCTTGAACTCACAGAGATCTGCCTGCCTCTGCCTCCCGAGTGCTGGTATTAAAGGCATGCGCCACCATGCCCAGCTTCTAGTGTATATTTTTATTGAATTTTTGTGCATTTCATACAATACAGCTTATTCATATTCAGACACTCTCCCCCATCTGTAACCCCCCCATAGTCCACCCACCAGATTTCACGCATTCTATCATGTATGTTAAGGCCTATCTAATCAAGTTTGTGTACCCACATGTCCCTCAGTGTGAGTTCATCCACTGGAGCCTGGTCAGTCTATCTAGCATCACTCCTTTAAAGATCAATTCTCCCTCACCCAACAGTGATTGGCTGTCAATAGTTTCTTGGCTAAGGTTGGGGCCTCCTCCCCATTTCCCCATTTCTATGCTGAGTTTTTGTCTAATTTAGTTTGCATGGTTCTCATGCATGCTGTCATTGCTGCCCATAGGTTCATATTAGCAAGTTCCCAGAAGCCTAGAAGACTGCTTCCTAACGGCCATGTACCACCCCTGGCTCTTATAATCTTTCTGCCCCCTCTTCCGAAATGGTCCCTGAGCCCTGGTGTGCTGGATAGCTTTAGTGTCAACTTGACACACATGGGTTGAGGGATCCTCAGTTGGGGAATTGCCTCTATTGGACTGGCCTGTGGCCATGTGTGAGGGGCATCTTCTTGATGAGTGATGTGGGCGGGCCCAGCCCACTGTGGGTGGTGCCACCCCTGGGCAGGTGGGCCTGTGTTGTACAAGAAAGCAGGCTGAGCGGGGGCCAGGGGAGCAAGCCAGTAAGCAGCATTCCTCCATGGCCAGTGCTCCTACCTTCAGGTTCCTGCCCTGAGTTCCTACCTTGGGCTCCCTGATGAACTGTGACCTGGGAGATGTAAGCTGAATAAACCCTTTCCTCCCCAAGTTGGTAGTGGTCAGAGTGTTTTGTCACAGCAATGAAGAAACAAACCAGGACACCTGGGTACATGAGGTTTAACATGGGCCCTATCCAGGGACATGCAGCTCTCGGTTCTCACCAGCGAACTCTTCCCCATATAACAGAGGGGTGAACACAGAATGGATTGTTTTTTTAAGTTCCCTGAGCTGTTCTGAATTAGAAATCTCCATCCTAGGTGGCAGAGGCTCATGCCCAAACCCCAGGGGACACTGGACTTTCTGACCAACACTCTGCCCAGTTCCTGCTTCAATAGTAAATGAATATGGAAATTTCAAATTCCCAGACACTGCCCTGGAAACCATATATGAAAGGACTCATTGCATCCTTCCTAAGAGGCACATAGGAATGGTTATTATCCCAATTTGACACAAGGGAAACTGAGACACACAGCACTTAAGGGGCATAACCAAAAAGAGGCAGGGCCAGGCTTCAGAGCCAGGTGGCCATCTCCACCCTGCATTTTGAGCAGCCCTTGGCCTGGTCCCCTGGAGAAGTCCACAGACAGTCAGAGGCTGGACAGAAGCATTGTTGGGCAGTGTGATTTTGATCTGGACAAGTGACCGTTGCACACCTGATAGCTCCCCTACACGGCCCAAAGCGGAAATGAGCAGGGGAGAAAAAGAAATTGCTGGCAGGGCCTGATTGATATGCAGCTCAATCACACCTTAAAACCAAAACCCCATTGTTTTTCGTCTACCTAGACAATGTACATGAGGGACGGGGGAGGTGAAGGTGCACCCAAGCCCACCTACCCTGACAGGAGAGCTTGGTACACCTCTGGGCACCCAGGCAGGCCCTGTAGTATACCTCCTTCCCCAGGACCGTGGGGGCAGCGAGTGGCAAGCGCACACAGGCTCGGTGTAGCACAGGCTACATCACACAGAAAGTAGCATGACAGTCCTGGGACTGCCCTGGAAGGGACAAGTCAGATAAACCTGCACTCTCCTCCCGTCAGTGGGCCTAGAGTGTCAGGAAATGGGATTCATATGTGGCCCCAAATCCCAAGAAACCCAAAACAACACACCCTGAGACCCAGTCTGCCCCTCCCAGGCTTCATGACCCTAGAGTCAGGGCCTTGTCAGTGATGTTGAAAGTAGCTGTGCTCCTCCTACACATGATGCCCATCTGGGAACCACAGCGTGAGCTGTGTCTTTAAGGGCTACCAAGAACAAGCTGTACACACACAAAAAAAATTCCAGAGTATAAGACAGGTCAGCCTGATGGTGAAAATAAGGTCAAGAAAAAGCTCACATCCAAAGCCTGGGGAATGTGGCTCAGCTGGTAGAGTGCTCACCTAGCATGCACAAAGCCCTGGGTTCAATCCCCAGCACTGCATAAACCAAGTGTGGTGGTACATTCCTGCAATCCCAGCACTTGGGAGCTGGAGGCAGAAAGATCAGAAGTTTAAAATCATTCTCAGCTCCATAGCAAATTCATGTCTAGCCTGGGCTACACAAGAATCTCTTTCTAAAAAATTAAAAATAAATAATAACAAAAATAAATAAAGCTCACCTTCAGGGTCTGAGAGATGGTTCAGCAGTTAAGAGTACTGGCTGTTCTTCCAAAGGACCCGGATTTGGTTCCCAGCACCCACTGGTGGTTAACAACTGTCTGTAACTCCAGTTCCAGGGGATCTGATGCCCTCTTCTGGCCTTATCAGGCACTGCACATATATGGTACACTTACATACATATAGGCAAAACACTCATACACATAAAATAAAAATCAATAATTCAAAAAAAAGCTCACCTTATCCACCATGTACCAAGAACCAGTCCCAGGCACAGAGCAGAATCCTCCCCACCATTCCACGATGGGCTCGTGTGCTGGATAGCTTTAGTGTCAACTTGACACACCTAGGTTGAGGGAGCCTCAATTGGGGAATTGCCTCCATTGGACTGGCCTGTGGCCATGTCTGTGGGGCATTTTCTTGATTGTTGAGTGATGTGGGAGGACCCAGCCCATTGTGGGTAGTGCCACCCCTGGGCAGGTGGGCCTGTGTTGGATAAGAAAGCAAGCTGAGCAGGGGCCAGGGAAGTAAGCCAGTAAGCAGCGTTCCTCCTTGGCCTGTGCTCCAGCTCCTGCCTCCAGGTTCCTCCCCTGAGTTCCTACTTTGGGCTCCCTGATGAACTGTGACCAGGGAGATGTAAGATAAATAAACCCTTTCCTCCCCAAGTTGGTAGTGGTCAGTGTTTTGTCACAGCAATGAAGAAACAAACTAGGACAGCACGCTAAAGAACCTCTCTCTTCCTGAGACCCAGAGTGGAAAAGGGATGTTCCCAAGGTCACATAGCCTGAGACAGAGCAAGGATCTGCAGGCAGCCAGTAAACAAATGGAGACTAGCAAGGATGTGGATAGAAGGGGCTGGGAACTAACAGGGGCCTTGGGCCACTTGGACAGAGCATGTGGAGTCTGGGTGGAAACCATGCCCTTCCCCTGCCCTTTAGGAGCTCTGAGGATCCATCTCTGCTTACAGAGCCTGCCAAGGGTAGTTCTGAGTAGGCAGAGCCACCCCAGAGGGGAAGAGTCTGCCCAGGGGGTGAAGCAGCCGGACAGAGCCTGTGAGGACCTGAGGATCCCACCCCTGCTAGGCAGAGGTGAGAGGTCCTGACCGGAAGTGGCATGCACCTGGAATAGGAAGCCTGTCTTTGGCTGGATTTGGCTTCTCAGCTCCTTGGATGCCTCCACCGGCTACCTGTGGCTCCCCAGATTTATTATCAGCCATAGAGCCCAACTCAGTACCTCCCAGACATCAGCCAGACCCTGGGAAACCTGTCAAGTGCATGAGCTCCACAGTCCAGATTCACTCTGAATAGAGAGGAACCATGTGGCCCACAGGGGGCTCAGTGCTCAGAAGTCATAAACCATGCTTGTGACAGCACAGGGACAGGTCCAGGGTCCTTGGCGGGTCATTTGTATTCTGGTTAATGGCTCTAAAGATGAACTAGTAGCTATGAGGTGGGGCCACTAATGAGGTTTTAGATCTGCTGGAAGGCAAGGAGGAGGAGCCTCCTCTTCTTTTGGGTGCCTGATCTTGGCCCTTTTCTCTTTGTGTGTGTGTGTGTGTGTGTGTGTGTGTGTGTGTGTGTGTGTGTGACTATATGCATGTGTGTATGTAAGTGCACACACACAAATGTGTAAATATGCTTATAGAGGTCAGAGGTCAACGTTGGGTCTCCAAACATTCCATCATATTTTCCCTTTTAATTAATTTTAATTAATTCTGTTAGTTGACAGTTTTTTCCTTTTTTAAAAAATATTTTTATTTATTATTATTTTACATTTATGAGTGTATTGCCTGCATGTGAGTGCACCTGTATTGCACAATGCCTTGGAGGTCAGAAGAGGGCTTTGGATTCCCCTGGAACTGGAGTTAGGGACAGTTCGTAGCCTCCATGTGGGTGCTGGGAATAGAACCCGGGTCCTCTGCAAGAGCAGTCAGTGCTAAAAAATATGGAATGCTTCACAAATTTGCGTGTCTTCCTTGCACAGGAGCCATGCTAATCTCTGTATGTTCCAGTTTTAGTATATGTGCTGTCGAAGCAAGCACGACAGTTTTATACACATATGTAATGTATTCTGTTTACTCTCTCCCCCACACCTGATCTCTTACCTCTTCCCATCCCTAGTCCCCACCCCATCCCTACCAGTCCCTATCCCAGAACCATGACTTTTGGTTTGGTTTTCTTACACATTTAGTTTAACAGGGGCCATCTGTGTGACCACTAGATTGGAACTGTCCATCAGAACCTGGGACACATCAATGGACTATGGGGTCATCAGTGAGCACACAACTGGGCAATGATCTCCCCCGCTCCCTAAATCTATCAATAGCAAACAGGCCTGGTGACTGATGGCACATCCTTATGCAAATCTGGTGCAGCTGCTGTGAGTTCAAGATTACAGTGGCTGAGTCCCCACCTTATTTTTTTCCTCATTGAACCTGGGGTTTATTGATTCAGCTAGGCTCACTGGCCAATGAGCTCCAGGGATCTGTCTCCGCCCTCCAGCACTGGGGTTACAGGTGTGGGCCACATGGGTGCTGGGAATCTAAACCTGGGTCTTTATACGTGTGCCATAGGCACTTTAGTGACTGAGCGTCTCCTCAGTTCCCCCTCCCCTTTATTTGAGACAGGATCCCATGTAGCCCAGGCCAGTCTCAAACTCATAATATAGCCCTAAGGATGACCTTAAACCTCAATCCTCCGCACATGCCACCATGCCCAGCTTATTCAGTGCTAGGGATCAAACCCAGGGCTTCATGAATGCTAGGCAAGCCCTTGACCAACTGAGCTACATCCCAAGTTCCCCTTTTCTCTCTCAGTCCTGTTTGTCCTAAGCAAGTCTGACAGAAGTCCTCCCAACATGTTTAATTCAAACGTGGAGGAGCAAGAGAGATGGCTCAGCAGTTAAGAGCACATACTGCTCTTGCTGGGGATCCAAGTTCTTTTTTTAATTTTTTTTATGCGTATGAGTATATTGCCTGCATGTACATAGTGTACCCATGTCCTCATACCCATGCCATGCAATGCCCTTGGAGATCAGACAAGGGCGTCGGATCCTCTGGAACTGGAGTTAAGGATGGTTGTTAGCCACCAAGTAGGTACTGGGAACTGAACCTGGGTTCTCTGTAAGAGTAGTCAATGCTCTTAAGCACTGAGCCATCTCTCCAGCCCCTAGGATCCAAGTTCTGTTTCCAGTACCCACATTAGATAACCCACATCTGCCTGTAACTCCAGCTCCAGGAGACCTGGTGCCATCTTCTGGCCTCCTCAGACACTGCACACTCACACACACACAATTAAAAACTTAATAGTAATAATTCTAACTTGGGTCATAGGGGAGTGACAATCATCACATCTCAGTCTCCACAACCCCCATCCAATAGAATGCTGTGCTCTGAAACACACAGACGGGATGGGAAAGGCAGGGATGGGAGGGGAATCGGCAGTGGTGCAGAAATAGAGATTAATGGGCTTAAGGTTAGGGTCCAGAATTTATGCCCCCACCAGCCCTACCAGCCATAGCATGGTCTGAGCCATGAGCCCCTGAACTTCTCTCTCTCCCTGAACCCCAACCTCAGGCCCATCAAATGACCACCAAAGTAAAGAGCTGAGGCTTCCTACTGCAACCAGAATTCTCAGCCTGCTAAGCAAAGATTAACAGCAAATTACCTAAAGCCTAATGGATCTAAGACCAAGGGAGGGGGGATAAAGAGAGGTGGAGACAGGCAGAATTAAGGGCAATCGGGGCTCCCTTTGAACTACTTACTGGCTCAGGAAGGGAAGGTCTAGCATTCCTTGGCAAGCCGTGAATGTCCTTTAATTAAGCAATAAATGTGGAACCCAGGAAACTAGCATTGGAGGAGTGTGCTCTGTTTAATCACCCGTTCCTGGACTCAGCTCTGCCAGGCACGCCTGTGTCACCTTGCCATGGCCAAGACACGACAGCACATGGGCAGGCAGGGCCAAGACTTCCCAGACACACATTCCCTTCTGGTTCCAGCTCTTTCCATGTGGAGAGAGACTGAGAAACAGCGCCGGCACAGAGTAACAGCCATAATTCCATCAAAGGCCTTGGTGACACTGTAAAGCCACTCGACACAGCCAGAGCGGTTTGTCACCAGCACCCCAGTGGAATTGACTCAGAAGGCATTTTGCACATTCTTCCAACGTGAGGCCCAAATCGAGGCTGAGTATGTTAGAAACTCTCTGTTGTCTGGAGCCCTGTGTTCCTGTTACAGAGCAGAGCAGGACATATCGATCCCAAGTTCAACTGCAAGTCAAAGTCACTGTGGGGATTAGATCAGCTGAAGGAATTCAGAGCCTGCAGAGAGCTATGGAGCGAGGTGGGGGTGATCAGGAGTCCGTACTTTTGGACTGCAGTTCTGTGTCAACAAGGAGCTGAACGACCCCGAGCACTGGGCCTCCTTACAGAGACTGGGACTCCTAGGTTAGAAGTACAAAGACCCTCCAAGGTCAAATGGCAGGGAACAAGAAAGCTAGGAAGAGCCAAGAAAGAGGGGCACCCCTGGGCAAGGGGAACCAAGCTCCCTGCCAACTGCGTCACAGGCCTCCCAAAACCTGTGGCTTTGGAGTCTGGAGCATGTGGACAATCCCAGAGAGGAACAGAGTGAAGAGGCTTGAGAGTAACAGGGACAAAGGTCAGAAGCCAGAAAAGGACAGGCCAGTGAGATTGCTGAGCCAGTAAAGGTGCTTGCTGCCAAGCCTGACTGACCTGAGTTCCATCCCTGCAACCCACATGGTGGAAGGAGGAGAGAACAAATTCCTCCCAGTTGTCCTCTGACTTCCACACATAGGCTGTGGCACTTGAGCGCACAAAACAAAAAATAAATGGGAAAAATGATTTTTTTATTTTATTAATTATTTTTATTTATTTTATGTGTATGAGTGTATTGCCTGCATGTATGTTAAGTGTACCCATGTCATGCAATGCCAGTGGAGGTCAGAAGAGGGTGTCAGATCCCCTGGAACTGGAGTTACAAATGGTTGCTAGCAGCCATGTGGGTGCTAGGAACCAAATCCAGGTCCTCTGCAAGAGCAGCCAGTGCTCTTGACCACTGAGCCATCTCCCCAGCCCTGGGGGAAAAAAAAAATAAAAAACCAGAAAAGGGACTGGAAAGCTGGCTCAGTAGATAAAGTAATTACAGCCGCACAAGCATGAGGACCTGAGTTCAGATCTCCAATACTTATGTAAAAAGCTAGGTGTGGTGGCCAGTGCCTGTAATCCCAGCACTGAGAAGGCAGAGACAGGAGGATCCCAAGGGCTTGCTCGCTCACCAGTCTAGCTGAATGAATCAGTGAGTTCCAGGTTCAGTGAAAGTCCCAGTCTCAAAAAATAACATGGGGCTGAGCATAATCATAGCAAGTTCCAACTGGGGCTACAGAGACCCTGTCTCAAAAATAAATAAATAAAAAATAAGGTGGCACATGATAGAAGATATCTAATATCAAACTGTAGCCTATACACACTAATAATAATAATAATAATAATATAATAATAATATAATAATAATAATAATAATGGAAAGAAAGGAGGAGAGAAGGAAGGCAAGCAGACAGGATCCTTTGTGGCGCTGTGGAATGACTGAGGATCACCCCACTCAAGTGCCCTCCTACCTCAAACTCACCGACTCATCTCCAGGGCTTTCTCCCTATGGAAAGGACATGGTCAGGTGCATTACGGGAGACACCAGTTCTCTAATACTCCACCTACTCCCTCAACAGCTCTGACCACTTTGAAAGTACAAGAATCCGAGATGGTCCCCAAAGTCCACCTGACTTAGAAATGAAGCAAAGAGTACTTCCGGTGTGGTCAAATCCAGAACCTCGGAAATATATCTCAAGAGTTTCATCAGATCTGGAGTGATGGAGCAAGGCCCAGCACTGACTGAGCAAGGCTCAGCACCAGGCATTGCCAGTAATTTACAGCATGTTTCTTTCAGAGGTAATTTTTTTCTATCTGGAGGCTGAGCCTCCCTGGCACACCCCACTTTCTGCAGCTGTCGGGCATGCTCCTTGACTTTACCACCTGGCAGGCATTTGGAGACAGTGCTGGCAGAAGGCTTGAATGTGAGGGCCCAGCTCCAATCTGAGCCCCCAAAGATCCTGGCCATCTCAGAGTGCTCTCAAGGCCTCCAGAGAGGAGCCAAAGAATAGCATAGACACAGGACAAGAAGAGGTTGGCAAAAGCCTGCCCATCCAGGCCCAGCCTCTTGGAAGGAAGCTGCTTGCCAGGACAGACACCATGTGGTACCCAAGCTCTGGCAGGCAGGAGTTCAGGAGGAGCAGAAGGTGGCATCTAGGCCTCAGCTCTAGCCCCAAGCCCCACTGCGCCTAGTAGCATGACTTGGGGCCTGTAGCATAAACCTCCCAGGTTTTACTTAGACAAGGAACACCAGCATCCCTCCTGGCTTCCATATGTATCCCATGAGCTCACAGGTGGGTCCTTAGCCCTTAGGTATGTACATACTCTCGCTCATTCCTGTTTCTGATCTGTCCACCCCATCTTTGATCCTCTGTGCCCAAGTCCCTGCTCTCCTGCACATCACCCCCTATCCCACAGATCTGCCCATTCATCAGACACTAGGCCACCTCTTAGCCCTTTCCCCAAGATCAGTTCAATCAGAAACTGCCCAAGGCTTGTGTGCTCTGAACACGTTTCCTCTTCCCTGAGGTAAAAGAGTCCAAGAGCTTGCTATACCCCCCAGAGGATCTAATTCCAGCATATTCCTCCTGTGAACAGCCACTCTACCCTCAGCCCCTCCTACACAAAGAGAGTCTGGGAAGCTGCTAAGTCTGTGGGGGTCTCTATGCAGTGTGCCAGCAGGCTTTTTCCTAAGGTGTTTGCTGCGGACACACCCATCAACACTCCCCAAGGCAACCAACCTAAAATACCAAGGATTAAGAGAACTACATGCCTGCTCCAGGTGCCCTTCGGTGATTGCCCACCAAAGGGACCTCTCCCAGCTGCCCGAGTCATGCTCAGGAGAGACTCTAAAGCCCACACCTGACCAAGATAATTTGTTTG